CTAGTTCAAGTATAAATATACAACCAGATTTTGGGTTCTTGTGTCATCATTGGATCAATGAACAAAGTCACATGGCTAGGTTACTTCTGATATTCTATAAATGTCTAAATTTGTGGGTTTTTAAAAGTTGTAAACCATCATCATTGCTCTACAAATAAAATTAAAATAAATATAATTTTAAAAGATATTGATAGTAACAGAATGTCATATTATAGAGTTAAATGAATAGTGGGTAATGGGCATTCAAGAACTTCTAGCCTTGCAGGATCTTTAGCCTCTGTTGAGTTAAATACACCTAAGTCAGGATAACTTTATATTGATTAGTGGTGCGGTACAGTGGTAGGGTGAAGTTAATTTTGGCACAGTTTGATTATGGTGTTACAAGTTGAACATCTGCTTATTATTCAAATATTAGGATATAAGGGAAACAATCTGTGTAATAAAATGAATTTTTAATTTAAGTATTTCAAGATCATACTAACATAATCTGTAAATACCACAATGAAGAGAATAAAATGACATTATTAACCCTAATACTGAAAGCCAAAAATATCCACTATATTTCAACTCTGCCAGCTCAGTTTAAGATATTCTTTAAAAGCTGCTTTGTGATAGTGATAATATCCTTTTTTAAACTTCATACACATTCTGTTAGCTTTCCATATTCTATCAAAGGAACTCTTAAATATTTTTCTTTGAATAAAGATAAACATGTTGACATAGTTAGGGTGAAAGATAAAATATAATAAAACCATACTGTAGATATGTGGATACCTCAACCTCTTATAGAATAACTTGAAAGGAAAGTAAATTCTAATTTATCTCAGGAACATTGAGAAACTCCAATCATTCTATAGTAATTGATAGCAGCCTTGTGTTTGAGATCTTAATTTTCTTTCACTGATACATTAATTAAATAACTATATGCTTGTTAATAATGTATACAGCTGTCCAGATTTACTGACAAAATGATGGAGAATATTTATCATATCATGCCTCCCTTCACTGCACTCTGAAAGAGAAATGTCTTCATTATAAATCTTGTCCTTTTTAGTGTTTTAGCCATTTTATACTTTAATTTTTTTTTTTTTTTGAACTCAGGTCCTTGCGCTTGGGAGGCAGGCCACCGAACCAATGAGCTAAATCCTCGGCCCTATACTTTAATTTTTTAAAGCATATGTCATTCCAGTCTATAGTTGTAACAGTAAAATTTTTATTTTAATATTTCATTCATCTAAATTAAAAATCCATCTGGTGCGCTCTTCTAAATTCATATACTCTTTTGTGTAAGAGCAAATAATCTCCTCAGAGTAAATCATCACTCTGTTTCCCAGGTTACAATCTAGGCATAAATTAATGTGCACCTCTTGTATTTCTGAAAATCTATACTTTAATTAGGACAATTCTTAATAATTATATATTTTGTGCATTCAAGTTTTGAAGTGTTTGGATACATTTTAGATGCAAGTGAGGCAAAGGACATCTTACTTGAAATAAAGTTTTAAAGAACTCTCCATATTGTATGTTTTGAGTATAGGCAATCATGCCTATATTTTCTTGCTACCAATATATGAGTTTACCAGATTACATATTTTTCTTTAAGTTCTCTAAAGAATACTGTGTTTGATAAATGTGCGTCATTGGTAGGACGATGCATGGATCTTGAGACCATAATGCCATGTAAAATAAATTAGATACTAAAGGTTAAAGATTGCATGAATTCTCCTCCATGAGACTCAAAATATAAATAAACAGCAAAATAAAAGAGAGATTGTCGGGACCGTAGTGGTTGAATTTTTGGAGACAGGGAGGGGATATCTAGAATGAGAAGATTGAGAACGAAGGAGGAGGGTGATAAAATTGATGAAGACGTGATGTGTCTAGCAGCAGTTCCCCAAAATGAATGCAGTTCCTACATATTACAGATGTATGCTAATACAAAACAACTCTTAAGAAAAATGCTCAGCTTTTCATAACTTAGCCAGATACTCTACTCTTGAAGAAATCATATATAATTATACTATAAATTTTGTAATGTTAGGTGTTGTCATTTTTAAAAAGAAGGTCATGTGAAAAGACACCATGTTTACTCACATGCCTTACAACATGGTAGCATTAACATATTCTATTATGTTCAAATCTACTCCATAGCGTTCCTGGACAATGAAAATATGAATCAATAATGAAAATGCTAACTATATTTGACTCAGATCTGAAAGGAAGTAATAAATTTAAAGATGATATCCTTTCCAAATTATATATGTGATTTTATAATATTAGTTTTATTTTGTAGTAATAGAAGAGAACTAAGATTGTATGATAGAAGTAACAATGATATTCATAATCATGCTAAGTATTTTGAAAACTTTGGCAAATGAATGAGTATCAACTAACAGCATTTATTCCTTAACATTTCCAGAGCCAGGATACTTTTGTTTCATATCTAGAATAATAAAATCCATTTATGAAGCAATCCTTAGCACAATAAATTTGTTGTGCCACTCTATACACATCTTTCATGAGAACAGCCCACCTATCCCCGTGGCCCTAAATACAGCAATACAAAGTACATCCTACACACGATGGCATTAAGATGCACCAAGCCGTGACTTCAAAGTACTTTTCTCACCTTAGTGCTCAGAAGTCTTCCAAATGAATAGTATTTTCCACTACACTATACTCATCTTTTCTTTTATTTGTATACATTTTCTGGTCTCTGAAGTCAGTTGTACTTAAAAAATTATTTCTGTCTAAAAAGTCTTTGTACAGATATTTTTCAATCAAAATTCCCTTTATTTTTAAGGTCCAGCTACAGCAGTGTCTGTATAAAATGCTACTAACTCATCTAAATATCACTTTTCCCTTTTCTGCCCACTTGACATTTGCTATAATGTATACAATATTTTCTACAATATGCCTAAAAATCATGCATGCCTTTCTCCTCATATAATTAAGAATTTGAGGGAAACAGGCTTGGAAAATCTCCCATATATCAACTATTTATGAAAAGAAGATTTAAAAAAATCCCAAACTTAGGCAATTATATTCTCTTTAACATGCTTTAAAGATGTTGAGAGATTTCTGTGGTCCATAGTTAGCATTGACAAATTTTAGCTCCTTTGATATTGCAACTAAAACTTAATTTACTCATTTTAATAATGTAACTCCATGATCATATTTCCTCATAAGCTTTTAATTTAAAGTTATCTCTGCAAGAGAAAACAGTAAGCTTCAAATGTTTATACACTTTTGCTTTAGCTAAACCACTGGCTGGAGATTAGGTGGGAAATGCTCCAATTATAAGACCCCATTAAATTATTTTCCAAGGAGATCAGCAGTATGTGGGTGGAAGGAAAAAATGCTTTAATAAATGGTGGCCCGGCTCATTATGGTCAAGACTTGATCCTTATTTCTGGATTGTCCTTAAAACATAGCCACTCTTCACATCATTGTTCTGAAGATGTAAACCGTATCACACCCAATCACAGATCATGAATCACTGGGGGCATCAGGTAAATGATGTCCTCTAGATGAAGTCATTAAAAGATATTTTCATTGCCACTGTTTAATTTTGTTTATGTAATGAGAATTTTACTACCAACATGTTTCTCCTTGAAATACAATAAACATTTGCAAATGTAAAAGTAGGTGACAGGTGCAGTATAATTCAGTGTATTAAAAATGATAAATTTTCTTAGCCCCTGAAAAAATAACACTAAATTATGTCTGGAAAATTTTGAATGAAAATCTTCTTGAACTATTGAAATCGATTTTTCTTGGTCGAAAAGAAGCAAACCAGATATTGTTTATAAGCACTTCCTCAATTCCATTTAAATTTTTCTTATGACATTCGCAGCACTAAATAAACACAATATTATTTCGAGCAGTTATTACACACTATGATTATTTGAAACAAATACTTCTAGGATTATTACAGACAGCAACTGTGATTGTTATTGATATAACTTTACATGAAACCGTATGAAAACCATTACATCTGATAATGTGCAATTGAATTTCCTGACTATCTTTAACTGATTTACAACAGTTCCCTCAGAAAATTTTAATAGCGATTACTCAAGAGAGAAAACAGAAGAAAAAAAAAAAAGAGAGAGAGAGGAACTTTGAGGATGCAGGACAGAGGAAAGTGCAGTATTAGGAAAACCCTGAGTACTATTCACAGACTTCTTTGGGTAAACATTCTAAAAAGTGGCTTAAAGCCATTCCCTTACATATTCTCTGATGAAAAGTCTTTGCAGGCATGGCTGTGCAGAGTTACACCAGCTGTAGAAATTTCACACCATCTGATCTAACGTAGCCTTATCCCTTAGAGTGTAAATAAACTGATTCAAAGCTACTAGAAAATCTGGACCATCCAGATGGCCCCGATAGATATTTAATTGGTAAAATAAAAAAGGCACTATTATTTAGGATATTTTAATTATATTTATGACATATTTTACGTATGCATTTATTGAACATGCTCAAGTTTCTAGAAGTGAAACCGTGAGGATATGTTTGTTTCATTACAACACTGTCTTTGAAACACGATAGTATATCCCTTTTCTGTTTGAACAATATTTGTGGCTGATCCTATGGCTTATGTGTGCATTTTAGATATTTCTAGTTTGATTTTCAGATATTGAATGGTTTGGTCTTATATAAATTAAAATGTTAATCTTTCAATTTAATGTTTCTCCACTGACCTTAACTTGAACCTAAAAAATGTTCAGAAACCTATCAAAGAATGGTTGCATGGCCACATTTTCTTTCTTCTCTTTCTAAATCTTTTCTAAAATAATATGTATCTTTTCACTGTGATTTGTAGTCAAATCCAGAGAACACATTTCTTAAATATAAGAGCGGCATGGTAAGTGATTAATGTGTCTGATATCTGACATTGATACCCTATTATTGAAGCTCAAATATATCTCCTTGTCCCACAGAACTAATTTGCATGCTATTCTTAAAATTTCACATTGGAAAAATTCCTTTTGCAGCATTTTGTGACAAAATCGGGATTACTCCAGCTGACCACTTTGACTTTCTTCTAACTTCTTGCATTTGGTATTGCCACTAGCTACTGAATAAAATTTCTAGCTTTTGGTCGGATCCATTGTTCTTTTCCTCTTTCTCCTCAACTGAATTTCTTAAATAGTTGAAGCCAGAGTCTTCCTTGCACACTTGCACACCAGACTCTGAATTTTCCACATCGGGATCATTGGGTGATTAACTTTAAAAAGTGGAAGTGTAGGACAAAATATGTAATATTCTAGATAATCTTTACAATATATAGTACGTATCTTTCTTTATATGTAAACTTAAGGTAAATGAAATGATAAAGGTTATAAAACAAGATTTCTGCTAATTAATGCGTTAGCCATTCTGGAGAGTTTTTCAAATATTTTCCTTATGTATGTTGGGACAGTTACCACCAATTATTCCCAGATACAGAATTGCAATTGAGACAAAAGTGACAAAACATTTCATTTTCTATCATATATATTTTACTTGTATGCTACCTACATGACAAATGTAGTTTTCTTAATTAACATATAGTAATTGTACACATTTATGAGATGCAATGTGCTGTTTTCCCACAAGTATGTATTTTATAATTAGCAAATCATGTTAACTAGTCTATCACCAAGACATTCATACATTATTTGTGGAGAAAACACTCAAAGTCCTTTCTATTATTTTGAAATAACAATAATAGTAACTTATTGTTATTAGTTATTATTAGCTATTTTAACTACTTGTGTAAAAGAACACCATAATTCATTCTTTCCATGTAATAGAATGCCCTTTTTTATAACTGAATGCATACTTTGAATGCAGTAGCTTTGGTTTGCTTGCTTGTTCTTTTTCTTGTTATCATGTAATTACTAATGAAAGCATTTCAGCATTGATCAGAATTTCCTTCTTGTTCCCCAGGGAAAAATTAGACTTTTATTGGAGCTGAATTATTTTTCTGACAAATCCCTATGTCTTTCTTATCAATCAGAACCATAATTGAATCAAGTAGTTACTGATTCATGCTGGAATACATAGAATATTGGTTTGATGAGAAGTTTAAAAATTAACTCAATGACTAAAACTATCTATTGTAGCAAAATAGACTATGAGTTTAAAGAGAGAATGGAGAAAACTCTTACATAGTTATTATAGGATGAACTGGAGGCAATCTATGTTTTAATGTGTATTTGATTCAAAATGTATTTCAAAGAATTCACAAGGCAAACTCGTAGTATTTAACTGGCTCTCAATCAGAAAATCAGGTTTTACCTGAATTTCCATAGAACTCTAAGGACAGAAATAATCTGGGGATCCAAATGATGAAAATTATAATTCTAAAGTTCAAATGTGACCAGAACTAATAGTAAAGATATGTCAATCCAGGAATGATGGCACATCTGTAATCTCAGCCTTTGTGAGGCTGAAGCAGAAAGACCTAGAGTTGGATTCCTATCTGGTCACTTTCTTGAAAACTTATCTCAAAATAAAAATTAAAACCTCCTCAGGATGTACTTTAATAGTAGAGCATCCTTGGGTTCTATTTCCATTACTGCAAAAAATTATCGTCTTGTGTACAGAATTGAAAATATGTCTGTTATGATTACGCGAGTACTTAAATTATTTTGTACACATCATTTGAGAATGTATTTTAATAAAAACTTAAAGAAATAAATCATAGTCATTATTTCAAAATTTACAATTTTTTAGGATGTCGAGGGTTTTTTTAACATATCAGTTTATTTACTCAGTAAGCATCTGTTAAGTTTTATGTGCAAAGCCCTGAGGTGCTCAAGATAGACGAATTTGAAGTCACTGGTTTTTATGAAGATAATTGTCAAATAAAGGAGGTAAGATATATGATACCTATGAGATGATGACAATGTAAAGTGAAGAAGCAGAAAACACTGGAAGAATCGCAGTGGTTTCATCATATACTTCTCTCCCGCAGGGCTACCAAAATGCACAACTTCAATCCCTTACATGACATGGCTTAGTATTTGCATACAAACTACACAATCCTCTCATCTATGTGCATCATTCCTTAACCACGTAAAATATCTAAAACTATATGAACTTTTGTCAGTATTAATTACACTGCATGGTTTAGGGAATAATGACAAGAAGAAGAAGTGTGTACATGTTCAGTGGAGAAATTTTTTTTTAAACTTTCATTACAAAATTGGTTGAATCCATGCATACAAAAGCCATGGATACCGAAGGTGCCCTGTTTTTCATTTTTATTTAATGTATCTTGTCACATGAAGTGAGTGACAGCTTAATGTTATGAGTGAGCACTATATAAGTGTGTACTTGAAAAAGTTATAAATTGTTATTTTTATTTTTCCTAGTGATAAAATACTAGTTCCTAGTGCACAGAGATTTAAATTATATATGTACCTTGAATAGTTCCAGACATAAAATAATTCAATTAATTTAAAAAATTTAGTATAAATGAATTATTAGAAAACTGTATCACTGTGTCCTTTTCACATCTGCAATGCTGCACACTTACCCATCTTGTAAGTAAGTGACACACTTACTAAGGACAATATGTCTATATCTGTCACTCAAAGATTTGGCTAGAAATGTTCCTTTTAATTGTTACATGGTGGTCCATTTTCTCTTTCATTAATTAATATTTCATCTTTTAGGTCTCTCTACAAACATGAAATAAGCAAAAAAAAAAAAAAAAAAAAAAAAAATGTCAAAAGGGACATTTACCTGCTGTAACCTAAGTGCAAACCCTCAGCTGTAATTCTGGTCCCTGATGACAAGGTCAGCCCATCTTTTCTTACACTAAGAACAGAAAATGTAACAGGATAGTGTTATATTAGGCTGGAGGGCAATGATCAGAATTCAAGATGGATATAAAAAGGGTGATGGTAGTGATTGATTTATCTACATGTGGTAAAATTCAGCTAAACTGTGGAGGCTTATTTTTCTCAAAAAAATATATATCTATATAGCCTAATGCCTGGTTTTGGTTTACCAGTTTAAGGAGACTAGCACTACAGTTCCCTTATCTTCTTCGTACTGCCAAAAATATACTCCAGCCATTGAAATATAATTTACAAAGCTGTAAAAGGAAAGGGAAAGGAAAAGACATTACTCGAGAGTAAAGCTAAATTTTCACTTATATATCCATCACATTTCCCCTTTTTCTCATGATTCAGAACTGTATCGTATGAACACCATTGTTGAGGAATTTCTAGAAGAACGAAATTTTAGCCTTTTAGTTTCCTAGTAAAATGAACCGAGGAGTAAAATCATTACAATGAGTAGGGAGTGAATCACCGATATCTCTGCAATGGGAATGTGCAACGAGTTGTAGAAGGAAATCAGAGGTCACAAAAGTCACAAATGTTTTTGGAGAATGGTGAATAATTTGGTTATGACAAGTAGATGGTGGTCTTTAATAATCAGACAAAGGAGTTATGAAGCATTTATTTTATTACTTTGAAAAGTTTTATAAGAAAGATAGGAATTAATAAGGGATTTTAGAAAAGATGGGCAGGGATGATCTCAGAAAGTGCAAGAAAAGAAAGAAGTGATGAACAACTTTATAAAGGAGTTATAGAAGATAGTAAAACCAATGCAAAACGTGGCCAGACAAGACCAAGACAGAATGGAGCGATAGAAGCCCAGGTTAAAAAGTGGCAGAGACGTTATTAGGGAAAATAAGATGAAAAGGTCCCTTCTTTTACAGTGTAGCCTTGGCTTGGGAAAAGTAAATTCTAGTAGACTTTTGAGGAAATAGTATGACTTGTGGCTTGTGTTAACTTGTGAAAGGACATAACAGAAGTAGAGATGAAACAGATTCTGTTCTGTAGAACTTTATTTTCAAGGTGAAAGGAAAGAAGGGAGAATTGTAGTTAAAGCTGATAGCAATCACAAAGAAAGTCATTTTTTGTTGCTGCTTTTGTGCTCTTGTCATTGTGGTTAATAAAAAAATATATATATATATATTTTAAGAAAAACTGTAGAAAAATGGATTATATGAGAAGGGGGAAAGATACTTAGCTTTTTTCATCAATCTTTCATTTATTTGTTGAATATTCAAAGCCCAATATATATACGATATGACATATGACATTCTTTAATTTAAATTACATTTTCTTAATACCTAAAAATAAGATGTGTACTTATTAACAGGGTTATTTTTATAAAGTGTGTAATATAGATAAACACATATATGTCCTCATTTTTTGCTGCTTTATGGAAAAAACATTAAAAATGTTTTCTGTTATCTTTGTGAGATATACTGTAGAGTTTACAATGGTCCCCCAAACCCTCTTACTACTCTCTAACTGAAACTTAGTGCCCATTTTTCAACCTTTCCTCATATTTTTCCTCCCCTTTATTCTCCCAAGCTTCTGTTAACTCTTATATTCTACATATAAGTGAGATCATACATTTCTTGTTTTTTTGTGTCTGGTTCATTTCACTTAATATAATGATAACGAGTTCCATTCATGTTGTTTCATATCATAGTGTCTCATTCTTACACCGATATACTTATCAAATATAGTTCTGTTGTATTAGTAAGAGGCAATAAAAGTTATTAAATCATTGACTGCTTTTTATATTCCAGACATGTTACATAAGTTATCTTTTTTTTTTTTTTTTTTTTTTTTTTTTTTTTTTTGGTACCGGGGATTGCATTCGGGTCCTTGCGCTTGCAAGGCAGGCCACCGAACTGCTGAGCTAAATCCCCAGCCCTTATCTCATTTGTTGATTGCAAAATTCCTAAAGAGTATTTATCTGAAAATGTTGTGATGAGAATACAATTATCAATGGATATAAAATGTTGAAAAAGTCCTAGAATATTATAAATTCAAATGTTGTTATAATTGATACTAATTATAGTAGCAGTCTTTGACATTGCTTTATTTTTCAGCAAAGTGAAGCTCATATAATTTAATAATTATAGTTGTAATGCCACATTTAGGAAGGAACTAAGTCAAAAATCTATTTCAGGTGTGTCTGATTCCAAATCCCACTGAACTACTGAAGGAGGGAGTAATTCTCTTAAACACCTTAAAGAGATGGC